TAGAATGGGAATTAAACTGGGAATGGGGGTGTGCCGCTCCACTGTCAGTGTGTGCACCTGGGGAAACGGGAATTCCCGGAAAAAAAAATGGGAATTATGGGAATTACAATGGGAATGACAATGGGAATTTTACAATGGGAATGACAATGGGAATGGGGGTGTGCCGCTCCACTGTCAGTGTGTGCACCTGGGATAACCAAAAAAAAACACGGGAAAAATGGGAATGACAATGGGAATTATACCAGGAATTTGGGTGTGGCACTCCGCCGTCAGCGTCTGCACCTGGAGAATGGGAATTCCCGGAAAAAAAAATGGGAATGACAATGGGAATAGAGGTGTGCCGTTCCACTGTCAGCGTCTGCACCTGGAGAATGGGAATTCCCCCCCAAAAAACCCGGGAAAAATGGGAATTAGAATGGGAATGACAATGGGAATTACAATGGGAATGGGGGTGTGCCGCTCCACCGTCAGTGTGTGCACCTGGGGAAACGGGAATTCCCGGAAAAAAAATGGGAATGACAATGGGAATGGGGATGTGCCGCTCCACCGTCAGCGTCCGCACCTGGGGAACGGGAATTCCCCAAAAAAACCCCGGGAAAAATGGGAATTAGAATGGGAATTACAATGGGAATGGGGCTGTGCCGCTCCACTGTCAGCGTGTGCACCTGTAATTCCCAAAAAATGGGAAAAACTGGGAACAGATGGGGAAAAAAAGGGGAAAAAATGGGAAAGGGAAAAAACGGGGGAAAAAAAAATGTCCCAGTCCTGGTTTGTGTTGGGAATGTTGGGGAAAACTGGGAATTTTTCCCAACAGGAAAAACGTGCCAGTGCTGCTCTCTGCTGGGAATGTTGGGAATTGCAGGGAAAAGTAGGAATTCTGTGCTTTCCCCATGGAAAAACATCCCAGTGCTGCTTCAAACTGGGAATGTTGGGAATGTTGGGAGGCTTTTCCATGCTCTGAGCATTCCTGGGATCCCAGGGGCCATTCTTGGATTCCTGAGGCTCCCATTCCCAGATTCCCATTCCCCATTCCCAGATTTCCATTCCCAGGTTCCTGCTGTTCCCATCATTCCTGGATTCCCATTCCCCATTCCCAGATTCCCATTCCCCATTCCCAGATTTCCATTCCCAGATTCCCAAGGCTCCCATTCCTGGATCTCCATTCCTGCATTGCCACTTGTCCCCATTCCTGGATTCCCATTGTTCCCATTCCCAAATTCCCATTCCCAGATCCCTGTTCGCCATTCCCATTGTTCCCATTCCCACATTCCCATTTTTCCACACATTCCCCATTCCCATTTTCCCCACATTCCTATTTTTCCCATTTTTTCCCCCATTCCCGTTTTCTTCCTGTTTTTTCTCCCATTCCCCTTTTTCCCGTTTTTTGCCCATTCCCGTTTTTACCCCCATTCCCATTTTCTTCCCGTTTTTTCTCCGTTTTCTTTCCCCGTTTTTCCCCCATTTTTTCTCTGTTTTTTTTCCCGGTTTTTTTTCCCGTTTTTTCCTCCTTTCCCCCCCCGTTTTTCTCCACTTTTTTCCTGTTTTTTCCCCTGTTTTTCTCCGTTTCCCGGTTTTTTCCCGTTTTTTTTCTCAGTATTTTCCCCCGTTTTTCCCCGTTTTTTCCCCGTCTCTCTCCTTTTTTTCTCTCCTGTTTTTTCCCCGTTTTTTCTCCTTTTTTCCCCCCATTTTTTCCCTATTTTCCCCCCTTTTTTTCCCCC